GATAGATAGATAGATAGATAGAATCACCATATCTCTACCATGTGTCTAAAAGAATCCCGAAATAAGAGTACCCCTTAACACTCAAGCCCTAAACCCTAACGACCTTTTGAAACCGGACTTGATCACTGCCAGTATTGCCTCTTCTGCCGTTCTTCGGCCGAGGCCCGAAAACTGTGTTTTTGCATCCAGGCCTGTTGCGACTCCCGGATACCCCTGAAGAAAGGAAACTGAGGGCCAGGCTAACTCCCTAATCACTAAAACCTAAACCCTAAACCTTAAACCCTAAACCCCTAGACCCCTAAACCCTAAAACCCTAAACCCTAAACGCCTAGAACCCTTTCCGGGCCTTGGATCTTCCCGAAGTTGCAACCCCAGTATCGGCAGGCCCAGCAGTAGCTTCCCGGGGTCGTCGCATTGTTGGACTTCGCCTGGGCACGTGAGGCTCGGAGGGCTTAGTCTAAGGTAGAACCCATGGGCCCCTAGTATGGGCCCTTAACCCTGGGTTTAGGGTTTAGGGTTTAGGGTTTAGGGTTTAGGGTACCCTAATATACCTACTATATACCCTATATATACCCTTAAGGGGCCCTGGAATCCCCTAAGGGCCCATGTTAGGGGCCCATGGGTTCAACCTTAGACTTAAGGGGCTTCGGGCTCAAGTTGTTTGGGAGGTGAGGAACCGGTTTAGGGTTTAGGGTTTAGGGTTTAGGGTTTAGGGTTTAGGGTTTAGGGTTTAGGGTTTAGGGTTTAGGGTTTAGGGTTTTGGGGGGGTTCTGGCTTGGGGGAATGTGGTTGAGCTTCTCTATCTGCCCCTCCCTAAGAGAGATTCCCGCGTTATTGCTTTCTCTTCTTGGCATTGGCGTGCCGACCAGGCTTGCGAAGATAGTTCTTCACACCATCATACTCACAATGATGCGCCGTTGGGGCAACTCTTGGTTCTTGACTTCCTTGGCTCTTGAAGTCGGCAAGGGGTTCAGCGCTACACCGTGCTAAATGCCCGCTTGAACCCAGAAACAGAAGACCCCAAACCTAAATCTTAAAAATGATCCGAGAACTCATAGACTCCGCTGACAAGGATCTTCAGCACGTCGGTCGAAAATCTCCAGCGTCGTATTACGCTTGATCTTCAGGCCTGTAGGGACCCAGTGAGCGCAAGAGCTCTTAGTCAAGATGCCCTTACAGAAACTGCAAGGACCTGAACGGCTTAGGGTTTAGGGTTTAGGGTTCAGGGTTCAAGGTTTAGGGTTTTAGGGTTTAGGGATACCCGTACAAGCTAAGTCTTATATGCCACAGCACCCTTTTCTACCTGTTGAGGCCCTTATGATCGAGTGGCCTCTCTCATCAGAAATCTCTTGAACCCTAAACCCTACTGCGCTATGACCCACAATAATATAAGACAATACATGAATATAACCTGAGAAAATCTTAGTATAATAGAACACAATATAACATAACGTAACATAATATAGCATAGCAGAATACAATGTACTAATATGCTAAGGTATGATATGGGCAGTTTTCTAAATTAGGGTCCCTTTTAGGGTCCTCTTTTTAAGGGTGCCGTACTATAATTTAGAGAACTACCCATATGGTAGGTTGCTGAATTGAACATCATCTGGCCAGGCTGGCAGTTGGGGGCGGGGCTTGGCTTTAGAGTGGAGGGTTTAGGTTGTATGGAGAGAAAAAAAGGGCATGGAGTTTAGGCTTAGGGCTAGGGTTTAGGATCTAGGGCTTAGGGGCTTAGGGTGTTTTGGCTTAGGGTTTGTTGTGTTTAAGTTTCTTTCAGGTTTTTTTGGCGTAGGGTTTAGGGGTTCTCCTGTAACCAAACGAGACAGTGCCCTCTACTCCGGTCCTTTTCACGGGAAGCACGGGAAACCACGGTAAAGTTTAAGGCTTTAGGGATTCTCTTAAGGTTTCCCTGAAAGGCTAGAATAGGGTCGAGCGGCTCCTTTAAGGTTTCCTGCAGGGGTTACGAGAGAGCTTAGAATCCTGAACGACCTGCCTTCTTTGATGGGGGGGACCTCTTTCTGAAAGAGACAACCCTTGGGAAGGGGGGTTTTGGGAACCCTAAACCCTAAACCCTAAACCCTAAACCCTAAACCCTAAACCCTAAACCCTAAACCCTAAACCCTAAACCCTAATCTATGACACTCCAAGGCCCTCCTTGTACTACATCCCTGGAGTTTTTTGACACACTCGGACAAGCCTGGCACGGTCTGCAGCATCTTCAAGTTTTTAGGGCTTGAGGGTTTAGGGTTTAGGGTTTAGGGTTTAGGGTTTAGGGTTTAGGGTTTAGGGTTTAGGGTTGATAACTGATGCTTTCTAGGATGCATCAAGGCATCTGCCTTCTAGATCTCGGTCTGGGAACGAAGCCCGAACGACAGTTCTTAAACTGTAAAAACCCAAACCCCGTCTCAACCCTGAACCCGCAAGCCTAAAAAACTTCAAAACAAGACCTAAACCCTAAACCCTAAACCGTGATCCGTGTTCCAGACCGCCCTCACAGCCACGGGACGCTTCTGCGCTGCAGCTGCGACCCGTCGTTCTTTTGGAAATTTGCTCTGAGCACAGGGGCGGTGTGGATTTGGGCTTCAAGATTTTCGGCCGTTGGCACTGTTTCAAGGGCTTGCGGCTAAGGGTGCAAAAATCAAGTCGAAATTTCAAGCAGTTCTATTGTTTGGTTTCTAGCCAGAAATTAGACCCTAGCCCGGCGCGACAACAGAAGCTTCCTAGCTTCGATGGAGTTCACAGTGAAGGTTTGCTGGTTGCAACCCTAAACCCTAAACCCTAAGCCCTAAACCCTAAACCCTAAACCCGAAGCCCTAAACCCCAGCGCACAAGCAGGCAGATCTTCGTAGGGGAGCTTGCTAGGGTTTAGGGTTTAGGGTTTAGGGTTTAGGGTTTTTTTTTGGGGGGGTTTAGGGCTTGGGGTTTCGGGTTTAGGGTTTAGGCTTCGGGAGTGGGGTTTCGGCGCTCACACTCGGACAATCCAGGTGAGGCATGCGGTCCGAGGTCTGCTGACAGTGAAACATATGGGTGGTTGTCAAAATTATGGTCCCTTTTTGGGTCCTTATTGTAATACGGCACCTATTATTTAGGGCACCCCAAAAGGGACCATAATTTTGACAACATCCATATGAGTCTTCAACAACACCTTGGAGTTTAGGGTTTAGTGGACTACTTCGGGTTTTGGGTTCGGGGGTTTTCGGATTTGTGCAGGGTCGAAGGTCGTAGGGCGTAAAGGCTTCAGCACGCACTTCCTGCGCTATTGACGGGTTCAGGCTTTACTACTTGGAGGATCATGGGACTTAGTAACTGGGGTTATAAATACGGCAACTATGTGCATAATTACTTATAACTCTACTTAAGGCACTTATAACCATACTAACCAAGTCCCATGATCCTCCAAGTACCCTAAGCTCCACGACTGAGCGGCATTCTCGAAAAAATCGTTGTAGGAATTCATCCATTGCTCGGCCGTCGTCACCGGCAAAATGAACCTCAGCTCTTGTCTGGGCCAAACAGGCTCTGGAAGGGCTCCATGAGAGCTCTATATACTTGGAGGTTCATGGGTAGTTATAAGTGGCGTTATAAGTAAGGTAACTATAATAACCCAGGTTAGGGGACTTATAACCATACTTATCACTACCCATGAGCCTCCAAGTAGGTTCTAGTCTCGGGGCCTTATAGTTGAAGAGTTTAGAGGCAAGGGCCTTGGCAGGGCCATGATATCTAGGGTCATGATTAGGCATACGACAAACTAGATCTGAAAACTTGCAGGGTGACGCATAAGAGGGTTGCTCTTGTCAGGAATGGCCGGGGAATAAGAAACCGGGGATTGCGTCATCAGTAGCCGGGGACTGTGTCATGAGAGTATTCCCTGGACACGGCTGAGGTCTATTTCGGACTTACAGGGGTAAAACATAGGCTGACTACACGAGTCCTCAACTCAACAAACAGCAAGGGGCTTTGCATTGGGAAACTCTTCCATGACAGCATCATACATCAGCTGGAATGGCTCATCCATGCCTGCATCGAATCCGTTGAGGACGTCGAAAGCCACCTTCACAGGGCCATGTTTGGGGGGGGGGGGGTATATTATACTGTAAGTATAAAAAGGAACTTCCAAATAGATTACGGCCCCTACAGCATGCCCTAAGCCCTAAACGAAAGTGTTGAAGTCCCTGAATTGATCTGGACTAGCTGTCATTTGGTTCTTTCCAACTGTTTTCCAATCTCAGTGAAAACCTAGGAAACAGCTTGCAATTAAAATCACAGGTGCACCAACGGAGCCTTTCCTACTCCAAACCTACATACTGCTAGGTCGAATGGTTCCCTCTCGAGCATCGCCTCCTTGGATCCATTGAAGTAAAGGAAGTTGCACAAGGGCTCCCGGACAGATCTGTTGTAGCCGCTGTGCAGAGGCCGCAGGCCCAGAACTCTCAAAGCAGTGTACATTGTCTGGGTCCCTGTCCGCGGAGGCCCAACATAGAGAACTTGAAAAGATCGGCCAAGGCTGGCAAAGCTCAGCAGAAGCGCAATTGGCAGCATGATCCTCCAAGTGGCTGACATACTGCCAGCCTCACTGCAAGGAAGTTGTATGGAGGGTCGTTTGCGGTAGGCGTGTGGCTTTCCACGCCTGGTCTTGGGCCCGAACGCAAGGCAAGGACCTCTATACAGCATAAACGGAACCCCCAACCCTAATTCCCTTCTGAAACCTCTGAGCTTCCGAACTTCGCCCAAGAAATACGAAAGACCCCCTGCACCAAAGTCTCACGGGTGATTCAGAAAGAAGGGGGCCCGAATGTCCGACGATCCTTATGACAAGGACTCCCCAAGATGAGCCTGGGGTTTAGGGTTTAGGGTTTAGGGTTTAGGGCCTAGGGTTTAGCGCCCAAGTTTTTCAAAGAAGAAAAGCATCTCGGAACAGGGGCCGAGCTTCCTTCAGCACATTTCTCTAGGGGGTTTAGGGCCCTTTTTGCACAGGATTGCGTTTAGGGCCCTTTTTGCAACGGCCTTGTCAGATCTCGACCGGACTGATAGCCCAATGGAGACCAGGTTTTTGCAGAGCGGTTAGGGCCCTTTTGCCTGAACCCTAAACCATTAGGGCTTTCGATAATAGTTAATGTAGGGGCCTCAATCATTAGAATAGGGTTTGGGGGGATATTATACTTATAAAGAACCCCAAAATCGCTTAAAGCCCCTACATTGAGGCTTTTGTTGAAGGAAACTACAGGTGGGGAGTTTAGGGTATATAGGGCTTCTATACGGCTTCTATAAGGTATATAGACCTTCCATAAGGCTCCTATAACGGCAACTGCTCACCTGAAAATGTCCTAGATTTTGGGATTAGGCTTTTGGGGTGCAAGCTGGGGCCCGACTTTCGACGCCCGATCTCATCACGAAATCACGGTTTAGGGTTTAGGGTTTAGGGTTTAGGGTTTTGGCTTTAGGGTTTAGGGTTTAGTTGTAAGTCGCCCTCCGCGTATGAAGTCAGACGCTTAGAGGCTGTGTGTTGCAGGGCTTGTGTCGGGTTTTATGGAAATGTTCTGCAGGTTTCCCCAGAATCAAGCAACCGACCTGCGACCCAGAACCCCTAATCTTAAATCCGAAACCCAAAACCCAAGTAATACTTCACCTCACTTCACCTCAGGCCCCTTGCCAGTCCGAGTCGGCGTGCTCGTACCTGAGGTGCTGGAGGGCCACCTCCCGCTCCTTGAGCCTGGATCGGAGTTGATGGTTTAGGGTTTAGTGTTTAGGGTTTAGGGTTCAGGGTTTAGGGTTTAGGGTTTAGGGTTCAGGGTTTAGGGTTTAAGGTTCAGGGTTCAGGGTTTAGGGTTTAGGGTTTAGGGTTATGCCTTTTTT